TGATCGCCACAATTCAGGTAGTATTTCTTTCTCACGATTTCACGCAATCGCTATAACAATTACAAACGGTAATGTTGGTTAACTGTGTTGCTGTGAGGAACCAATTCAACGTGAGCGACCCATCCAACGTCAGAAACAGAAATAATCACGAATGCGTTGTTGCCTAACGTTTTTCTCCACAAAACCGTCGGCACTGTTGGGAGGGGAGTAAAGTAAACCATTACTCTGTCTGCTGTAGTAGTTTCTCATGAACGCATCTTGGTCAACAGAGCGTGAATAGTGTCAGAGTAAACGCACCTATTAGGCAAAGGCGGCAGTGCTGAGCTACTTGTCTAGAGAAGTAATTTTCGCTGTGATATCACCTCTTACACCAAACTGGTCTTATCTTGGATTTAAGCGATCTTTTGATATTGATCATGAACCCGATCAAATTCACTCGGTTTTTGAGATAGCTTCAGAAATTTTTTGTTTCAATACTAAGAATAGGCGCTGGAGACAGAAAAGTGTTAAGTGCTCTTTAGAGGTAGGTTCTAGAAGGTACTTTACGTGGATATAAGCAACGAGACAGTTCAAGCAACGTTTCAGAAGAAAGTGGTGCGATCGATGGAATATGAAGTTTATTGGCATGGCGTTTGAGATTGCTGCCCGAACCAAGCGCGGAGAAGGGAGAAGAAGGAGCCCGCGGTGTAGTGTTTGTGGGTCTCAATTGCCATGCCTTCACTTGCCTAATCCAATAAGCAGATAGCGAAGAGGACGCAGGGGGCCAAGAATTCCACTGCCAGCGAGCCAAATTGCCGAGTCATCATCACGCCAAAAACCGACAACGGGGATGACAGTTCTAAAATTGCCAACTCAGACTGAAGCGAGCACCGCATGCTGTACGACCACCATAGATTAACGCAATGTCTGCTAACTGAAGCAGACACATGGCTACATGGTCGCTGCGTCCCTTAGAGGCTACACTGCTGATGCCCTCATTACCGTTGCCTGCGACTGTCTCTGTTGATGATTACGATCTAGAAAAGCCATGTTCCCGCGAACGCATCTCCTACTGGTTATGCACCGTGCCTGCAGTTTTCATTCAGAAAAATGAACCTAACCATATACCTATTCATTGATATTGTACAGCTACTATTCTTTTCCTCTAACTGTCATTCCATTTCCGCTACACGCACGTTTAAAACGTGAATGTCAAACTGATTTTTGCAGTGTTGCATGATAAAAACGAAGGGCATTGAAGCTCAGGCGTCAAAATTGTTAGTTTATTTTTAAGTTTCCAGTGCCTCATGTAAGCCTTTCATTTTATATGACTGACGTCGAAGGAAAATACATGCCAAACAAAAGTGTATGACAGGGTCAGCAGACCTTAAAACGCTTTTTTAGCACAGGGTGCTAACGACGACGTTCATTAAATATCCCAGAAAGAAAGCGCAATACCAGTGAACTGTGCGGCATCTACCACACTCCTTTCTTTCCCTTACCACCTTGTTCCAATGGCAAGAAAATCAGAGGTACATTTAAGAGCAGATTTCTGACATTGGTCACAAAAACGATCAGATTAACCCGATTTTCGAGATAGCATCCGGCACTTTTTCAAGGCTAAGTATAGGGACAGTTTTTTAAAGTCTAACGCGTGGCAAAGTTATTCTTTCCGGTAGTTCCCCTCAGAGTGTTACAATAGGCATTAATTTAAAAAAAACATAGACGACCCACACTATTCAAGCGCTTGTTGTGATTCAAGGTGTGCGGAAGGTGCGCAAGACAAGCATAAAAATGTTGATTCACTACTATGTGCTCGTTCTCTTATTGGAATGATGTTTAAATTTATCTTAAAGTTTAAGTATAAGCTAGTGCTCAGACAGTGTTGTACCAACCAGTAGCGGTGGTGACCATTCAGATTTTGGTAGGTTGTAGTTGGTTTTCCTGTCTTGAATAAGCCGCTATCAAAATTACACCCGTACTGTCGTTGTAACCTATAAGTTTTTCGTACATAGAAAATCTGACGGATCGGTGGCCACCCGTGGTTAAAGGCATTATCGATATCTTATTCACAAGCTGCCTTTTCGGACTGCCTGCTATAAAAAATTTACCTGACTTTCGGATTAGGTCACAATTCTCCTGCATGCATGTTAAGAACACCCCTTTCGAATGAATTTCTACAATTTTGAAGGATGAATTCTAAGAGAGCAAACTAAAAACGCTTTCATCGTACATGGAACAGGACAGATTGGTAGTCGCGAAATAGGACGTTCATTGATTGCCCAATAAGGGCAGATCAATACCGATGAATCGCTTGGCGTCTACTGCACTCTCTTTCTTCAAATGGCAACACAATGTCAAAAGAATCAGAGGTGCGTTCCGGCACAGTATTTCACAAAAACAAACAGTTTGCGTGTGCCACTACATGCGCTCAAATTTCATGAGACCAGCTCGTGCGACCGAGAACATCATTATGGTTAACTTAAGAGGGATTCGTTGCAGGCTGACTCGCTGTTCTCTAGTTAGTACAAAAAAGACTGAGGATCGACTTATCCTTGCAGATGAAAATTCCACTCCTAGTCACTCATTATGGATTTGAGTGCGTCAAGTTTATTACTGTGCCAAAAGCGCTGAGAGGCTGTATGGATGGATTCCTCAGGGTTGAACTCATACTCTTATCCAGCTCCAACAGAGAAGTTGGTTAAGAAGACGTAAACGCGATAACTGGGCCAAGAATTTTATTGGCCTGACTTTTCGGTTTCCATCTCAAACAAATCCTCAGAGATCTTTCTGCTACCGACTCCAACGATGGGTTTGAGAAGGAATTAAGTTCTTGGCCAAGGGATCACGCCTACGTCTTTTCAATTACTTTCTGACGCTTGCCTTCCCGCTAGTACCAGAACAGTTAATTGTTCGAGTTTGTCAACTAAGTATAACCATAACGAAGGTGCCAGTCAAACGTCCAGACAAGCACTACTCCGATATCCTGTGTAGTTCTGGTCCAACTT